AATCAGAAGAAATAGCAAAACTAAAATAATGTATTCATATATCCTCAGTGCTGGTGGCTTTTTGCCATTTGTGACCTGTCAGTGTCATTTGTATAAGTACTACAAAGGAAATATTAGTGAAGAAATTTGTGACTAATCCTACATTATGATATTTTTATGTCTCTCCTGGCAATTCACTAAATAATGATGTGTCAAATCAGTCTAATTATAATTCCAAGATTTGGCTTATATTCAAATTGAGGGATCTCTTTAGCCAATTACTGAAGAATTACTATTATAAATGCTTATTTTAACTTTGAGGAACAAGGATTAGCAATAAAATTTATGGTATTTCAGTATACCACTGGCTCACACACATAAAAGAAATGGAATGTAAATCAAACTTAAAATGCACTACAAATCATCAGATATGGTTTCTCAAGTTGAGAAAATCTCATTGGAAACACTGATTTAAATAATACAAACAAATAAAACATTAATCATGACCAATATTCACTGAATGTGAAAGAATATCTAACAGCCATTATTTTGGTGACATTTCCCTTTGAACTCAAATATGCTTTTAGAACATGGGAGAACTTCAAAATGGAGATTTTTTTTTTTTGAGTATCTAACATGAGGTAGATAGAAACAAATTAACAAAGCCTCGTGTAATATCATTGTATAAACTGCTAATATCTCTAGAAGCTAAGTGTTCCTATTCTATGGTGAAAGATGTCACAAAGAGAATAACTTATAATTTTTTTCCTCTGGCTAAATGGATACAATTAATTCATTCAGGAGAATTTTGATTTGGTTAAGAACATTCTTTGAACGCTAAGATAAGATGGGACCATGAAACAGAACCAGCACATAACTATCATATTTCTTCTGACAAACTTGCCAGATAAAAATCACAACTCCAAGTGTATTTGTAACTCAAAATTTAATGGAGTGCTATTTATAGAGTTTTATATGTTGGAGACATTTTATAATTGTGAAACATTTTAGGTTTTCCTCAAGGTATATCCCTTACATTATCGAAAGGAAATGTTTTGTTCAACATTTTATACTTAATAATATATTAGTTGGGGGGTGGGGATTTAGCTCAGTGGCAAAAGCGCCTGCCTGGCAAGTGCAAGGTCCTGAGTTCGGTTCCCAGTACCAGAGGAAAAAAAAAAAAAATATATATATATATATATATATATATATATATTAGTTGCTAGTGCACACAATAAATTAATATTTCCTTCATTTTGGTAGCACAATTCTACACATTAATATGTATGAAAACATGCCTGGGCTTAGACAACACTGAATGAACTCCAGAAACCAATAATTTATTAAAAACAATTATACTGAAATATTCCTTACCATTTGTAATGTTAATTATTTTAGGGGGAAATCCATACATACAGAAGATCAAAATGAGTTTGATCTTTTCAGTTACAGTTTTCATTCTGTTCATAATTTAGGCCTAATAGGGTATGGTATCATGTAATGAACCAAATCCAATTAGCAACAAAAAGTAAATTTAATTTTAAAGCTATATATTTGCATAATTTATTCCTTAAGAATGAACAAAATGAGGTAAAAAATCACCAGTTTGGTTCAGTGTTGAAAGACGTTGAAAAAAGAAAACAGGATTTGCAGAATTAATTATAAGCAAGATTTAAAAGAATAAATAAAAAATATCAAATGCTAAAATTTCAAATTAGATGTAAATAATGAATTATAAGCAGGTTTTATGGTATGCATTTCTCCGGATCCATCTTCCACCTTGTTTCTTTTCTGCATAACTCCTTTGTACACAGAATTTGCAAAGTTAATTCCTCCCCAATGTTAGAGACAGACTTTGTCGAATTTATCTACCAATATAGGAAAATAACAGGCGAAGGGAAAGCTTTTGAGAAGATTGTGCGAAAGGCATCCGATAAATATTGCGGTGTCTTAGTGTGATAAGGGGTGTTGCCGCAACCTGCTTTTTGTAGTAATACACGTTTGCAGTACATAAAGTTTGCTTCCCATGTGCGGAGTCCATGCGTATACATAGCGCTTCTTCATTCCTGTTTTCTTCCCGTCTGTTCCTCCACTCCATCTCTTTCTTCAGTGACTGAAGATAGACACAAGACATGGAAAAGATGAACTGGGAGACTCAAAAAGCGAACTGGAAATCCTGATATCCCACACCATGCCTGAGCACACCCGAACTCTGAGCATTTCATCAGGTCAAACTTCCTTTAGTGTTAGTATTTTCTGGTACTTGAATCCAAAACTAACTGGAGGAGATTTAGCATGTTTTACTTTTCAAAGAATAACTTTAAAAAATTATTTTACATCTTATTCCCTTTCAATATATCATAAAACACATTTCTAAATATAATACAAATAAACTCATTCTAAATACTCCACATGTTAGGTGAATTTTATTTTAAGCATTGCTATAGTTTGGAGATATAGCTTGTGTATTTCCTCAAGGTTCATATGCGAGTCCCTATTGTGAGGTGTTACAGAAATGTCATTTAATCTGATTATGGTATGTAAAGGTCAGTCCTTCAGGAGGTTATATACTGGATCCCCCATGAGTGAATACAAGTGATTTTACAGGAGGAGAAACCAAAGAAAGCATAACCTCCTTCTTGCTGTCTCCTACTGTGTTATGATTCCTACCTCTGCCAGCAGAAAGTCCATCACCAGACATGGATGCTTCACTATAGATCAGTCTATGAGTCAAAATAAACCACTTTGCTTTATAAAATAGCCTGGCAGGTATTTCACAATAATAACAAAAACTGGACTAATATACACATTCAGAAGTGTCTTTAAAATAGTCTCTTTTTGTGAAAACTTGATTTATGCTAGTGTTTTGCTTTTAATCTTCATCCAGTAATTCTGAGTAACTGCAGAAAAAAAAAAAAAAAAGAACTACCTCATATAGAAATTTGCCTTTGAAAGCATCAAATAGTAATATCTTCACTTAAAAATATGCACTGTTTTTGGTTTACTCTTAGGAGGAATTGATCTTTGGAAAAGTAAACATATTTTAAAATAAAATAATTATTTTCACACATGTTAGATTTTAGTTAATATTTTCTCCCTGAATGTATAAAAATGTCAGCAACATTAAAATGTTGATAGTGAACCACTTTAAAAAATGTATTTTTATCAATAATGTTCATTTAAAAATCTTAAAAGATACATATTTATAAAATCAGCTATAACAGGCAAGTTTGTAGCCATTAGCAGACTCAGCAATATGTATAAAACGGAAGCCAGAGTGACAGTACCAGTTCAGTGCATCTATATGTCTATTAAGTTTTTCTGGAATTCTTATCACAAAAGTTATTTATCAAGGCACATGGACACAAAAATAACTTTATTGAAAAATGATGATGGTGAAACTATCATACACACTAAATCACAGTAAATAAAACAAACAAGAAAATCCACTGGATAATATATTTGGTAAGCTGTTAATTCTTAAATATTCCATTATAACAATGGTAGATTATGCTGTCATTCAACTATAATTACAATTCATCCATGTATCTTATATCATGACATTAATTCCTTTTGCACATAGAGAATGGAGTTTCTAGGCACTATGTGAATAAACTGTATACAAATATTATCAAATACTTTTCAAACATCTGAACTTTTTTACAAATTAGATTATCCAGAAAGGGATACCAGAATTATGCACACTTCCCATACTTCCCAGTCCTAATGCCTTAACAATTCAATTCTTCTGAAATGAAAATGTTTTTCCAAAGCAGAAATTCTGAGATCCAATTGATTGTAGCCGGTATTGGAATTTTGCATGCATTTTTACATCAGTATTTACCCACGAATATGTCATTAAAGATTGAAAAGCAAGATATATTTAAACAATTTACTACACTTTTTATTCAAGATACCTAGTAAATGAGCTTTGTTAGAAACTATTGAGAATTTGAAGTTCTGGAAGGTACTAGATAATAGAAGATAATGTGGATGAATTTTGTGTACATGTGGTAAACATGATGCCAAGCCACTTAAATAACACTGAAAATTTTGAATTTAAAATGTATTGAGGAGCAAATTTCAAAGCTGAGAATACTGAGGAGAAATATCCAACAAATCTTTGTAAATAAATAATGCTCCAATGGGAAAAGAGTTTAAGATCACAGAACATTAACTTGGGAATATGAAAATGCAAATGGTGTATAAATGCAAAAAATGCTGCTTAACTTTTATAATAAAAACAGTAATGAAACAGTGAACTAAAGCAATGATAAAAAATATTTTCTTTTACATATTATGTTGAAGTAGCTAGAAAGTTAAAATCATTTGTTCTTTAGAATACATGGAAATGGACACTTCATTTGACAATGAAAATGTAATTGGCATATTTTTCTCTGGACCTCAACTAGGCCCTATTTATAAAAATTATAATTTAAAATTGTTTACTTTTTTGACAATTCTACTTTTATACATCTTCTTGAGAAAATAGTTAAGTGTATGTGTTCAATGAGTTTGCTAGGATGATTAAATGTTTCTCACAGAGGAAAAAAATTAAAAAAAAGAAATAATCCAGCAAAATACATATTTATTACTAAAAGTTAGTTATATTATAGAATAGTCAATGAACAAAACAGAAAAGTCATTGAAATTATAATGGAAATAATTATTTGTGGACATAGTGACCATAGCATATTGTTAAATTTAGAAAGCAAGGGTAAACAAAATCTATGTGTTCCTATTTTTCTTATGTTATCTATATGTATATATGAAAAAAAACTGGTGGAAAATGTAACACATTTAAAGAGGATCTCTTTGCATAATAACATTAAATGTTACTCTTCTAATCTTTTTCATTGTCCATACCTTTTCATTGACTAAAAGTGATTTTAATTTAGAAAATGTTCAAAGAATATATATAATATAGACATAAATTTCTACAAAATAAAATGAAACAAACTTTTGTTGTTCATGAACTATTATCAAGAAAAAAAATTAATATTTCTTTTATAGTAGTAATATATGAAACAAAATATTTGGATATAAGATCAAAAGAAATACCTAAGCAAATAAAAATGAGTGAAGTGATAACAAAATCTTTTTCCAGATATCTTTGGTATAAATGAATCATGGTTTATACAATAATGATTTAAATGTAAACACATAACTCTTGTCTCATTTCCCAAATGGATTTGAAGCACATAATAAGGCCTACTATACTAGAGTACTTTTAAGTACTAAAAAATGAACAGAGAAATATTGATGATTGAAAAGCAGGGAAGAAAACATAGGAATGGGATTAGAATACAACCTGTGCTAGAAAAGAGTCCAAGCAATGCCACTTTGAATTCTCATACAAACAGCCAGTGATTTTCTGATCACTTAAGGCTAAAAAAGCATCGTGATGGGTTACATAGCTCTCATAATCTAATAACAAGAGGTATACGTTTATAAAAATAAAGAAACTTTCTTTTCTGAAACCCAAGAAAATATCAGCACATGGATAACTACACAGCAGATTTAAAAACACAGAATGTAAACAGGTTTCTATGTTCTATACATACTTATTTACATGATCTTGGTGTCTAGCAAAACCTTAAGGCATGACATTCAGTTGCATACATACGAAAATACAACTTTGGGTTGCCTGCATTGCTACAGATTTATAACTTCTGGAATGTGAAAGTTAAGTTTGTACTACACAAGTGAGCAATTTAGATTACTAGAAAGTAGGAGAATTACAGTAAACCAATTTAAAGAGTAAAAACTATCTCTTAAAGTCAGTTCATAGGAGATTTTAAAAATCTACACCATCTTATGTGGAATCATTAGAAAAATAATGATGTCAAGATACAAATTTACAAGAAGTCCAAGTATTTCCTCATAGCTAAAAACACCAATCCAAAATGAAATTGGATATTCAACTGAATTTGTACTAGCAATTTAACTCTTGATTCATCAAAAAGCTTTGAAGAAAAGTCCTAAAATATTGCTAAACTAAAACTACATTGGAATCTATTTGAGCACATTTTCATAGAAGAAATTAAGCTTAGCCATCTTACTAACATGAGAAAGAAAAATATGCAAACAACTCAATTATCTGACTTTAGTTAGTTCAAAACATAATTCTATTTATTGCTGCAAATACTGTATCAACACTGAGAAAAAGATACAATTTTAACAGCTGAAGATGTGCCCCCTGTAAAATGAACTTCACATGCATTTATTTTTCCATACACGGAAAAAAAAAATGGATTTACGTGATAAAACAGTGTATTACACAATTTACTTTAAAGCAGCCATCGGTGGGATTCCTTTACTGAAGACAATGCAAGTAAAGATCTGTATTTCTCCCCATCGGCTGGTGAGAACGTCGCTCTGTCTCAGTGCCGCTTGGCCAGGGCGATGTTGAGGGGTTTGGAGCCCAGGACGCGGCCATTCATCTCAGTGAGGGCCTTGGTAGCTTCCTCGGGGGAGGAGAAGCACACCAAGCCAAACCCTTTCCTTTGTCCTTCCTCCCCCAAGACCTTGACTCTGCTAATAGATCCAAAGGATGAAAACTCCTTCCGTAGCTGCTCATCATCAATGGTGTCATCCAAGTTCTTGATATAAAGTTTTACTCCCTGGCACCTACCGATTCTTTCTTTCTTCAGCTGCTCAAACATCTGCCTCAGCTCAGCCTGTCGTTCTTCCTTCTTTTGCGCCCTACCTACAAAAACGAGCTGCCCGTTGATGTCCTTCCCATTCATTTCTTCAACAGCCTTTCTGGCGGCCTCGTGGCTATCAAAACTTACAAAGCCAAAGCCTTTGGATCTCCCACTGGAATCTGTCATCACCTTAACACTCAGGGTTTTGCCATATTTGCTGAAAATACCCTTCAGCTTCTCGTTGTCCACGTCATCACCAAAGTTCTTGATGTAAACGTTGGTGAACTCACTTGCTTTGGTACTGAATTCAGCTTCCCGATCCTTGCGGTTTTTGAATGGGGCGACAAACACCTGCCGGTCCCTGATCACTTTGCCATTCATCGCCTCGATGGCCCAGTCGGCAGAGCTCTGGTTCTGAAAGTGCACGAACGCGTAACCCTTGGATCCCTGTTCATCGCTCATCACCTTGGAGGACAGGATCTTCCCGAAACGGGAGAAGTGCTCATACAGGGTCTTGTTGTCCACGGATTTGTCCAGGTTCTTGATGAACACGTTCCCAACGCCCGATTTCCTCAAGTGCGCGTCACGCTGTGACCACATGAGGCGGATGGGTTTGCCTTTGATCACGTCAAAGTTCATGGTGTCCAGCGCCTTCTGCGCGTCGGCCAGCTGCAGGAAGTTCACGTAGGCGTAGCCCAGCGGCTGGCCGGTGGCCAGGTCCCTGCAGATGCGGATGGACAGCACGGGCCCCACGGCGCTGAACTTGTGGAACAGCAAGTCCTCCGTGGCGTCGGCGTGCAGGTCGCCCACGTACAGGGAGGCCAGGCGGTACTTGGCCTCTAGGCTCATCTCCTGGCTCCGCCCAGCACAGGCTGAGCCCCGCGATCCGCAGCGCTGTTCCTGCGAGCGCAGGGCCTGACCCAGCTCCCCAGGGTCCCTGCTGGCCAGGACTGCAGCACAGCTCCCCCAGAGCATGCAGCGCCCTCACCCAACCGTGACCCGCGGAGGTCTCGGGGCAAGTCGCGAGGCCACTCAGAAGTCTCAGAGCCTGCTGGGCCGCAGGGCTCCCTCGGCGCGCAATTCCGGGGACCCGGAGGGCGGACGCCCCAGCTGCTGGCTGCTGGGCGACAGCAGGCCTAGCCGGCCGGCGCAGCGGCGTAGAGTTTCAGCCCCGGGTGGGGGGGAGCAGCGTGACCCAGTCGCCGCCCCGCCCGACCCGAACCCCGGTACCAAGCTCTGCAGACGCAGCCCGAGGGCAGCGGTGCGGGCGGGCTGCGGACGGACGGACCGAGGGACAGACGGACTGAGCGGCGCGTAACCCGGAACTCGGGTCGGAACTTCCCGCGCGCCCGCTGCCAAGTGGGACGTTTGCTTTTTAATATTTTTTTCACTGTTTTTCTTCCCTCCGCCCCTTCCCCGTTTCCCACCCCGCGCTGCAGGATCGGCCGGGAGGCGGAGGCGCCGGGCGGGCGGAGGGAGGCCGCGGCGGGGCGGGGCCCGCTGGGCAGGCAGAGTGGGGCGGGGTGCCGCGGGGCCGGGGCGTCCGCGCTGCAGTCCGGTGCAGACCTGGCCCCCTCGCTGGGGAGGCCCAGCGTGCGCGCCTCCTGCTGCAGAGCTCTGCGGGCGCCCGCGTTTCAGGGCCGGCTTCGTGAAGGAAATCAAAGTGCGTTCCTCCGAAATCGCACTTTCCGAAGAGCGGTTATCCCTACATTGCTGAAAAGTTAGGTTTCTCTCGTGAAAAACCTGTACACTGTCTTGCAGTGTCTTAGACTGTCTTTAATTACAACATACTGTCCACTTATGATGGTAGGAACAGTGTTTGTTTTATTTTCAGGAATTTGCAGAGATGATTTGTTCGATGGTCATAGAGTAGATCACATACCTTAATTTGTTAAATGTCCCCTTCTTATTTATTCCCATCACTGCACTGTTTTTATTTTTGTATCTTAACAAACAGCCTTTTTAACCATCAGCGATTCTTCTCTTTGTCTACATCTCACCTTTCTGCGGGCTGTGTTTTTCAGTGGTCCTATAGCGGCCACCTTTTCTTCGCTTCCTCCTGCACTGTTGCAGGAGTCTCCTTCATTCATCTTTTATTCAGTCTGTCTCTGTGCCAGTCTATTTGTACTTTGCTGCCAGAATAATTTTACTAACATCTCCTTCATAAGATGTTAGGAGAAGGAAACGAATGACTTCCAAAACGTTGCAAAATCAATCGTGTCCTAACTGGATGTATCTTCCCCTGTCAAGCTAATCTTTCATTTGTTTGATGTGGATATGCAGTTAATTCTTCTAAAAATACCTCTTTGTCCCAGTAATTATCAAATTCTGCTTGCTTTGAGCCTTGTTTTGTGGTCGACATATTTTGTCTTAACAGTCCAGCGGACTTTGATTACCGTTCTGAAGACATTATTCCCTGTGTAAATTTCGTGTGTGTGTTTCATTTAGGGATGTGGTCATTGGATTCCTGCGGCATATTTTAAATTTGATGTCTTTAAATTTGATGCCGATGATGTCTTTTTCCCTAGCCACTTGTTGCAGCTATATAGTTGACTCGCATATCTTAATTTTTTTTAGTCTGAAAATATTTAATTTAAACCCAATATTTTGTCTCATTTTGAAAAAGTGTTGTAATTTTTCCAATCATATTATTTAGCTGAAGTTTCCTTCAGTGTACATTTTCCTTCAATGAACGATATAGACGGATGACGCATGGAAATGGAAATGGAATTGTTTTGCTTAAATGCAAAAAAACTGTAATCACTGGTATTGATGGGAATGGGGTGTCTAAATTCTATGAGGTCGGATCAAAAAAATACAGACAATTTTTAATTTTTAAAAACTACTACTGTGAGAGGTTTACTGCAGGTAATGCCTCTCGAAACACTCTCCTATCCAACACACTTTTATCACATTGTTCTTGCCATGTGTGTAGGGGGGTATTTCAAAGAGGTTTAATGGTATTATGTCTATTATAGTCATACATGTTTTTAAAACCTAAACATGTATCAAATATTTTTATTACTCCTGTGCAAATCTTTAGTCTGATAGAGCACCTTATTGATGAAATACTTCTAGTCATGAATATGGTGGATACTAAGTCAGATGTAATTGAATGTGAGAGATATTTAATATTCTGATCTGATTATCCTCAGATAGGTACTCAAGCAGGGACCTTTATTGTATCAGCTTTCCTCAATACTTGTGCCCTATTACTTATCCCCAATACTGACTGCATCTCGCTGTTTGTTACATATTGTGAAAGCCAGGAAAACTAGTCACTCTGTATTCCCATATTCTTTGGTTTCTATAAGCACTCAGACTTCTAGATCACCAGTGCTGAAAACTACTCATAACACACATCCATTTTTCTTATTAGAGTAAAAAGAGATCGATTTCACTAGGGATAAGCCTAAGTACAGACAGGAGAAAAGGGATCAGAGAAATCCCATCTTGTTCAAATTTCTTTTTTAAATTTTTTTTATTTTGAAGAGAACAAAAAATAAAAAATAAAATCTCAAAACATATACAGAATTTTAAAACAAGATGACAGGAAATCAACAACATTTGTTATATTGAATATTTTTATCTTCAAAGTAGTTGTTCAGATTACCAGATATAGGCAAAATTGATAAAAAAAATTAAGCGTTAACTTTTCCTTTCAATATACCAATAGTAATTAGTGGTACAATTATCTTAGCTATCTTGTGTGTATATATATATTTTCCCTTCCTTCTTTCTTTCTTTTCTCCTTTCCCTCATCACAGATTTTTTCTTTCTTTTTGAGCAGTTTCTTTCCCTTTCACAACATCTACTGTACCTTTCAGATTTTATTTACTCTTTCAGTTTCTTACACTAGGGAAACAATATGATGTTTACATATGTGTATCTGATTTATTTCACTTATGAGTGTGGTCTCAAGTTGCATCTACTTATCTATAAAAGCCTCGAGTTTAT